GGTGATCTGCAAAATTTAGCCAATCAGATTTTTTAGCTTCAACATCAGCCAAACTTTAGCATCAGCCATAACATTAAATGAACATGATATGGTTTTAAACCTATCTAATCAACATTGTATTTTTCTTTATAATAGTACAAAACAATATGAGTCACTTCAAAAAGCTTTTAGTTTTTTAATTGATGAGTTAAAAACTTTAAATAGAGAAGGAATCATTAACTCAAATAACAATCGTTGGAAAATCGAATTTTGGTTCAGTTCTGATCAGAAATTTATGTCCTTAATTCTTGGTACTAAAGAACCAATGGCAGATTATTTTTGTTTATATTGCGATTGCAAAAGCTCAGACCGTTAGAATATGGATAAAGATTATAAAAATTCATGTAATACTCGGGAACAAAAAAATTCAAATCTTTTACCTTTTATAGAACAACAACATAGTGTACCAGATGAATTACATGTAATGCTTTGCATTACTGATATTTTATTTGAATGTCTTTTTTTTGAATTATCAATTAAATCGATATTTAATAAAAAAAAAACAATGAAATAACAATTCGCAAACGAATAAAATCTACTATTTATTCTCTAGGTATCAACATTTTTAAGTTCAGAGAATCTAAAACACCAAAAGCAAAATGGCATTGGACATTGCTAATGGGATCAGATAAATTAATAATCCTAAAAAAATTTTCTGTAACTTCATTTATTTTAGATGAATGAGAAAAAGAAATACAAAAATTCTGGCATGATTTTTTTTTTTATATAAAACAATGCATAAAGCTGATTTAACAGATGAAGACATTGTTAATTTTGAGCTTTTAGCACGACAATAGATTAAAAAATTTTGTCAACCAACAATCAAAAACAAAGAAGAAAAACTTCTACAAGAAGAACTCTATCAATACAATGATGTTACCCCCTATATGCAGGTGCTTGCATATCATATTCCAAAATTTATCAAAACAAAGAATCTATATTTACGATGGTTTTCATATTCAAGTGTAGAAAAAAAAAAAATTACACCCATGTTCAATTATTTTATAGAGGTACTACAATGGGTGGCGGCAATTCTTTAAAATCTGTAACCTACGATATATGCTCTTATGAAAATAGACAACTTTATTATTATATCAATGAAACATCTTTATCTTACAATAAAAAGAGTATAAATCTTAAATAATAAAATCTAAATCACAACTACATTGCGTTTACATATTTCAAATGTAAATTTTAAAACCCCATATGTCTAAGTATAAACTTTCTCATTATGTTCTTCATTAGTCATTCGCTCTTTTCAAAGAAAGACAAGCTCAGTTTCAAGCATTTGTTGTGTTTCAAGATCCTTTTTTTCGGTCATTACTCTAACCTTACTTTCTGTCTTTGTTGTTTTTTCACTCCAAGCAGGATGCATGAAGATATACCCAATTCTTTAGTACCCATCTCATTCTTTATATGTGTATTTATACTTTTGTTGAGTCACCTGGTATTTAAACCCTGGTTCTTGGTGAAACACATAATAAAAAAGGTTTTCAGGATAGTGTATGATGAATTGTTTGGAGCCTTGAGCTGAGCGGTAAGTATGAAGACAAGACTTTACATTCACAAGAAAGATAGACCGGAATTGACACAGATACCAGCTTGAAGGAAGTTCAAAACAAGTACCATGAGGCATAATATGGTTATATGGATGTTTCTTTGCTTCGTGAGACAATAAAGAATTTTTTGTTAAATAGGTTTTAAAGCACAAAAGATATAAAAAAGATTTGGACAAAGACATTACATATGATCATCAGATTAGTGTAACTATATAGATATCACATTCTTATATCACACCAAATGAGTCCGATCCGCTCATATGCTGGTGCAAAATATTTATTTTTGATACATCTGCACCTATTTTTTGATACACTTAAATGCATCCCAAAAATTTTATTACTTTTTTGAGATATGACGATTTTAAAAAAGTCACGTAGCCACCACACTTAAAATTGACCAATGAAATTGCAAGTAAGATTCTAAAAGATTTTTATAAAAAAAGCTTGAAGTTTTCTTAAACGAAACCAATTTTTCTATTATGTTAATTTTATCTAAATGCCTAACAAAGATTGTAGAAAAGCAAATTGCGATTCTAACGTTGGTAAGATCATCAAAATTGGCTTAGTATATCGTGAGATATGAGTAAAAAAAGTTTCGTGATTCTTCAAAGTTTCTTAAAAATTTTGAAGAATCGCGAAACTTTTTTTACTCATATCTCGCGATATACTAAGCCAATTTTGATGATATTACTACCATTGGAATCGTAATTTACTTCTCTACAACATTTACTAATGTCCAAGTATGATTGGTATAATAAAAAAAATTAGGTCCGATTAAAAAAACTTCAAGTTTTTTATAAAAATCCTTTAGAATCTTACTCGCAATTCCATTGGTCAATTTTAAGTGCGGCGGTCACGTGACTTTTTTAAAATCGTCATATCTCAAAATTTGGGGTGCATTTAAGTATATCAAAAAAGTAGGTGCAGGTGTATCAAAAATGAATGTTTTGCCACCCTGGTCCGGGACCCGTAAAAATTTGTATACAAATTAATGCAAATTAATACAAATTTAAATTGATAAAACAAATTAATGCAAATTTATAAGTGTAAAATTCACGTGATATATACGAAATTTGATTGGCTAATAATGGCAAACGGCATTTTTTGAGTTGAAAAATTTGGAAGTTCCGAAAAATTCCGAAAACAAAATGAATGAACATAAAATACGAGCAAGGTCGGGATAAAAGTTTGAGCAAATATACGATATTTTCCGAAGAGATAAATAATATATTGCAAATTAATATAAATTTTAAATCTTATTACAAATTAATCCAAATTTTTGCAATAACGCAAATAAAGATTTTGTATAACACAAAAAATTTTTACGGGTCCCTGACCCTGGTGGACTCGGCTCACGTGCTGCTTCGCGCCACGTGTTCATTTGCCCCGGTTTTGCCAAATTACCGTTATTCGACAAATTTTGCCCAATATTGTATACATATGCATTGAGAAATGACGCATAAAATTTTCACAATTTGACATAATTTATCATGTCATGTTTATGTAACTGAAAGTCATAAGGAAAGTATTGCAGCATGGTGGAAATAGCAAATGTTCATGGTGGAAATAGGCGTTCCCTAAGTTTATTATTAGTTTATTTATATTTAGTTAGCTTGGAATACATCCTGACCTAAACTTATGCATCTTAATTTTGTTTTTCTTGTGTTAAATTTTTACCGAAAAAAATCAAAGAGGTCAGTTCGATATTCTTGTAAAGGGCCTCTATAACGCTTTCCCTTCTATATGAATATTCAAACTTTTGTTACCCGAAGATTATTTGGGTATGTCTACCCGGGTATCATCACTACACGTGAGGCATATAAATTACTATATCGGTTTATTCCGACAGATAAGCGCGGATTACTAAAATAACTTATCTACATTCACGAATTTTATTACGACAAATTTTTAGTAAAGATTTTTAGAATTTTC